TATTTCTTGGGAGCCAGTGAGATAGCTCAGTGGACTAAAGCACCTGCTTAGACAAGCTTAGGCAAGCACAGGGGCCACAGTTCAATCCTTGTCACCACATGCTGAGCCAGCCCTGCACCCAGGGTGGGCTGAGCTAGCCAGAGTCCAGGCATAGTGGTGCACACCTATAATCCCAGTGCTGGGGAGGCTGAAAGCAGGAGGATCACTGAGTCTGAGCTACATAGTGAGACCCTGTAACAACCAAATATATATATATATTTTTTAAATCTTTCCTGGGCCCAGGAGATAGCTCAGTGGCATAAGCACTTGTCTGCCAAATACAAGGTTCTGAGTTTGATCCCCAGTACCACAAAAAAAAAAAAAAATTCTTTCTGAGAATACTTTATCAAAAAGGAAATAAGCAGTGATGGGTGATATTTACTGAACATGGACTGTGTATATTGTTCTAAGCAACGCACATGTACTTAATCTCCACAGTACCCCTACAAGGTATAGGGTACAAAACAGTAACCATGCTTTATCGGTAGGGAAACACAGACCTAGAGAACCTAAGGAACTTATTCAAATTCACTTGTGCAAAGACAGTATGTTCTTAGCCATTATGTTTTGTGAAAATCTGATTCATGTGAGATCTGAGTATAAACCTTTTTTACCCTAGCATCATGACAAGAAGAATTTTGGGTTCAGATATTGAATAGCAAATTGAATTTTATTTAGAATGGAAAAGATTTCTGCTTGTAATTAATTGGAGTAACTCTTAACCATTAATATAAAAAGTTAAATGTTAAATTTTTTTATTCTATTAAAAGCATTAAAAAAAAAAAAACTAGGGCTGGTGAGAGGGCTCACTGGTCTAAAGCACCTACTTAGAACAAGCTTAGCAAAGCACAGGGACCACGGTTCAATCCCCTAGCACCACATGCCAGCCAGCCCCGCCCCCTGGTGGGCTGAGCTGGCCACACACACACACACATACACACACACACACAAATAAATTTTAGAAAGACTAGTGATAGCATCATTGTCAGCTTGACTCTACCTGAGGAATGCAAAGCTGGTATAAGATTAGAAAATCAGCTGATATAATTTACCGTATTGTTACTAAAAGAAAAAAATTGTAAGATTTTAATAGATACAAAAAAAACATTTGATAAAATTTAATAACAGGTCACAGACCTTTTTCTTTAAGTCTTGGCAAACTAGGAATTGAATCTCTTTTAAGTTTGTAAAGTTGTCTGTTCTACAGCAAACATGATTCTCAGTGATAAAAATATTACTAACATTCCTTTTAAGATTAAGAAAATGGCAAAGTACAATATTACCACTTCTGTTCTTCTTTGTACTAGACGCTCTAGTCAGTACTGTATGACAATAAAAAAGAATCGAAAGATCAATAAAGGAAGGAATCAGTCGTCCTTAGCAGACAACATGGGGATATATGTGAAAAGTCTGAAACAGTTGGTAGACAAGGAATTCCGCAGCAGACGCCCTTTGTACTTCCACTACAGTCTCAGCTCTTTCTGATCAGGTCTCCAGCCTGACTCTCTGGGTTTGACTGCACTCCTTTCTGCCACCCTGTCAGTTCTGTTTCTCTGGAGAATCCAATATAACATGAAGTACAGTAATGTTTATTTCAGAACATTTTGTGACAACTAAATGAAAATGTAAAGGGTTTGACAAACAGTGTGTACTTAGCAGTGACAGTTTTCAAAAAATGTAAGATTTTAATAGCCAGAGGAGATAATGGTTTCTCAGTAAATGTAGTAGCCTGCAGGTCCCTAACCTGTATTTTCAGCTCTGAATTAAAACTCTATGCTCTTTATTTTCATTTTCAACATTGTCTCATGTTTGACTCATGTCTAACTAACTCTACTTATCTTTCATGGCTTTATAATTCCTTATGGGAAATTCAGAATTACCTAGTGGTATAAATTAAATTATGACAAGCACAACTGTGATGACTGAGCTACAGAAGCTTAGCTGGGTTGGAACTACATTCCATTCCTTACCTGATCTAGGTTGACTCTTCTATCAGCTCTCGTAATTCCATAGGGTTTAATTCCCAAAAATAAAACCCATATTCTATGTCACTTAGAGTACCTCTGTTTTCTTTAATAAATAAGTCCTGACATATACAGAAGTTGGAATCAGAGTTAGTTTAGTTCCCAAGGTATGTAACCCCATGGAGGACTTCTGTAATTGATTCTGGGTTATCTTTAATTGATTCTCTGCTTTGGTTCAATCTGTAAACCAGTGGTAAAGGAGACACTAGTAATCTATGGCAAAAGAGTTATTGTCACATATAATTTATATGTGCCTAGAGAAGATAAGGCTTTGGTCAAACTAGCAGCTGATGACAGAAAACATTTTAGTAAATAAGGATTATAATGGGACATTATACTGGACAATGTTGAAAATGAAAATAAAGAGCATAGAGTTTTAATTCAGAGCTGAAAATACAGGTTAGGGACCTGCAGGCTACTACATTTACTGAGAAACCATTATCTCCTCTGGCCATAAAGCTGAGATTTTTGTGATAATCAGGTTCAGTCTAGTCTTGTAAGTGGCTGAATTATGCTCATCACAAACAAGTTCGCAAGCTTGCAGGCTTCTTCCTTGGAAGTGGGATGTGACATGTAAGGAAGCTTGGATTATGAATTTCTAAATTTTACCATGCCTTCCTTGCCAGTGGAAATAGTCCTTGTACTCAATCTAGGAAGGCAAGTCTCCTATGTTGGTAGAATCTGTAATGGGATAACATTGTCTTGCAAAGGATAAGCAGTTTTTCTTGCTTCTGAACCTATAGCTAAACTCAAGTCTGTTTTGCTATAGAGAATGAGATATAAGACATACCCTATGAGGAGGCAGAATACAACAAAATATTAGTTTTGTCACTTTGTATAGACATCAATCTGGGGGGTCGGGGGGGTCGTAAAGGTGCTGGATTACAGTGGGAAAAATACATTTTGATTAGCCCAAGTTTATCAGTATGGGCTCACATGATGTTATGGTTTAAATCAAGAATGACACTCTGATGTGCTTCAATATGAGGCTTTAAAAAGGTAACTGAACTGTGGAATGCTACAGCTGAAAGTGCTCTTCGGAAGCAAGGGCTGGTGAGAAGAGGTCACTCACTGGGACTGACCTGGAAGGGTAGATCCCCCTCCCTGGCTCCTCTCTCTGCTCTCTACATCCTGGTCACTGTGATACTGAGCCGTGTCTGTGTCTGAGCCTGGCCACCATGGACTGAAGCTCCTGAAAGTGTGTGCCAAGCTCTCACAAATTGCAAGTATTGGGTATTCTATTTTGTTCAGGGGAGGTCAAGCTTTCGTTCTACCCAGGCCTTCAAATGATTAGATGCAGCCCATCCACATTATGGAAGACAGTCTGCCTTACTCACAGTACCAAATATAAGTGTTATCCAAAAGCATGCTTTCAGAAACATCCAGAATAATGTTTAACCAAATACCTGGGCACTGTGGCTCAGACAAGCTGACTTAAAATTAACTATCACCTTTCCCATTTCATAGTTGAATAAATTCTGGACTTTTAAGATATCTATGTGTTCCAAGTTCATTATCTGCTATTCCAAATTTCAAGAGCCTCTGAAATCAGTCTTTTCCCAGTTAGTAACCTGTACTTTAGTGGCAAAGCCAGATTTGAACTTACATGAAGCTATTTATGGTATAAGTGCACATATATGTATGTCTGGGTACATTGTACACACAAGTACACATCAACAAATTTCCATTATTGTAGCTAATATTTATGACCTTTTCTGTCT